GCCATAATATTTAAAAGTAAGCCTCCAAAGTATGTAAGGGTCGAGGAAAACCTGAAAGTGGAAGATAATCAGTAGGCAAAGTGAGTAAGAATTTAAAGTCCCTGTTTTTGGGTCATTAAGATGTTGTGCTTTGGCGCATTCTTTGATCTGCATTGAAGAGTACAATCATATGTAAGAGGAAGCTATTCATAAAAATCAAACTAGTCAATTAATCAGATCACTGCATCACGAAAATAAATAATACCAACAAAACTAATTCACGGAACCGCTCATCAATGTTGCTGATCAAACGTAGGATATAGGATTTGACATAACCAGCTCGGTTATCGATAGTGATGTCGCAAGATATATTGTAGCGTCTGCTCTGATACACGACAAGAGGTACTCTAGCATGTCGGACAAACTCGATATTATTTGCAATACCTGGAAAAGAACATCATAATCAAATCTCACTGTCAAAAAACAATCCCTAATAGAAAAAGATGGAGAGAAACACCACCTACTTCATTTCAAATGAATGGCGACTGCAAAATAAAAATATTTTACTGAAAATAACTTTAGGATTGGAGAAAAGAGGTAAAAAAATAAGTTCCCACTTTCTTGGTGTTGCAACATACGTTTTCTTCAAATCTCTAAAGATTGGCAAGCATTTTAACATTTGACTTTTAGTAGGCAATTTAGGAAAGTGTCAATAAATAAAAACATGAAAACATAATTTGAATAAAACACACTTCACAAAAGATTTACATTTTACAATTACCCTTGTAGTAAAAAAGAAATATTATAATTCTTTGCAAGGATCCATAAGCTGATTGAGAAGTTAAAAAAAAAAAAGGAAACAGCACCAGAATCCACTTAAAAGCAAATGATGTGATCACCGGCAAGGGAAGATATAAATAGATTTCAAAGAGTTGGTGAATATGCATCTTCTACAGTTAATTTAAGAAAAAAAAAAACATTGTACTGAAGAAGGGGTCGGTGGGATTAAAAATCACTAACATATAGGTTCTCCTAAAGAAGCATGAAAGAAAAATTTTATATTAATATTTAATTTTCGTTTTGTTACAATTATTATTGACACGTCATCAAAAATCACCTGGATCAATCACTAATCTTGAGGCATATTTGAATGGGAAACATTCAAAATTAAATTTGGGACCATCTAAATTCCGATCTCATCAACCTTCAAAGCATTAATTAGGTAACCAAATAATCTCCAAATATGACATGCTTATAATAAAATCGAGCGGCTCGAAGAGATGAATCCAACAAGCCCAATATTACTTAATTCTGATATCTATTGACCTATATGCTGTAGCAAATAAAACAAGAAAAAAAATTTCGTTCGTGCATGTAGTGCCGAACTTGCACGATTGCAAAATCCCTCAAATCCAGCATATCTTCGGTTCGGACATCCTACGCACGATCCAACGCCGCCTCTCCCGCATTCGCCTTGATTGTGTTGTCCTGCCCGACGCCTTGCCTCGCGTCGTTAAATACCGAAAGGGGTGAAGCTTTTGATAGCAACTCTACCTCTTCCTCTCGCCAAGTTTGGCCGAATCCCTTTGCTGCCAACTACCCTAGCTGAAGCCTCAACCCATTTCCGCCTCCTTCCCTCTTCCTCACTTCCAGCTACATCCAACTAAATCCAACCGCAAGCAAACCAACGTCGTCAACCTCTTGCTTCCATCAAAACCTCTCATGTAGCCGAACTTGACGTCAAATCAAACCACTGGCTCCAGACCTCCTCCTTCCTTCTTTGTCGACCGCAGCCGAACCAATCACAAGACCTAGCCGACCTCCATCCTTCGCCTCCGTTGTTGTTGACTTGGAACCCTCGACGACGTTCCCTTCCTGTTGGAGCGGAAGTTGCGACATTTTGATCGAAAGCAAGGACGGGAGCCGCTCATTGTGAAGGTAACTTTATCCCTTGCACGGGCTTCTTCGGCTAAATCCCGCAAATCCACCAAGCAAAGAGCAGGGAAACAGGGGATTTGATTCGTTGTAAGATTTAAAAGTCCCTAAATCCTGTTTGACGTGCCGACGGATTTTAGTTCAAATCCCGTATAAATCCTGTTAATTAAATATGATTTATCATAAATCCTATATCAAAACCTGCATTAATCCCGTTTCCCCACAAGAGTTAGTATAAATCTTGCTCAATTCCTGTCGCCAAACAGCCCATTGCAAACAGAGAAAACTGAGGGTTTAATTACTGTGAGAGTTAACAGTTGCCTTAATCCAATTAAATCCTGGATTAATCTTGTCTACCCGGACCAGATTTAATCCAGTTCAAATCTTGCATATATTTTGTTATAAATTTTGCACGAATTAATTATAATTAATTAAACTTAATTATTATTAATTATAATTCATTATGAGTAATTATAAATTAGTTATAAATTTATAATAGTTAAATTTAATCACAATTAATTATGTTTAATTATAGTTAATTATTATTACTCATAATCAATTAAGTTTAATTATAATTAATTATTTTTAATTTAATTTAATTTATAATTAATTATTTTTTAATTAAAATTAATTATTATTAATCATAATTAAATATAATTAATAATAAGATAAGAAAGAGAAATGCTTCCCTCACCTCGATATGTGTGCCAACTGTGTCGTTGCCACCACACCGTAAAGGTATAACCCCTCCAAACTCAAAACTCAAACAGCCCATTTTTTATGCTAGCAGCGTGACAAAACAATCACATATACATGTTTTTATTAGCGTGGTGGGAGGAAGTTTGTCGTAGTACTCGCGACGAAGCATATGATCCAAAAGCACCATTTCAGCGTTTGCGACATACCAAAAAATCGCCTATACACGCTTTTATTATTGTGGTAGGATGGGAAGCTGATACAATGCCTACAGCGAGGCAGGTTACTTGTAAGTACCCTCGAGCATGGGGAAACCAATTATCTTGTAAAATAAGTACTCTCAAAGACCCCATATATGCCTTTATTGGTGCGGTGGGAATGAAGACAACAAGGCGCGGTGTGTAAGGACACCTACCATACACGATTTTATTAACATGGTGGGATAACTCTTGAAATTTCTCATAAAAAGGGGAGACGCCAGAAGACTGCCGAAATTTGCACTGAACAGAGGACCTGAATTAAACTAAATGCAGAGGACTAGACTTGAATAAATATAAAAAGACTAAAAAATGATCTTGGACTCAAACTTGAACAGGAATTGAACTCAAATGAAACAAACTGAACATTAACTCAAGCTTGATTTGGACAACAAAGGACTTGAATCAAGCTCAACCAAGAAGAACTTGATTTGAACTTGAACTTGAACTACCTGCAGGGGACTTGACTACAAACAAAACTACAAAACTTGAATTAAATGAACAAGGATTTGTGAACTTCAATATAATTTGCTTAAGATGATTGCATTCAAATAAACTTCTTTCAACCAAATGACAAGTCTAATCAAGCAAATGAGCATTAACAAATCAAACTGGGGATGTAACGACTTGCTTATAAATAATGACTCACGGTGGATGAGAAGTCTACATCCCATCCAGAGGCAACAAACAATATGAAGACCAATGAGTAATCAGAAGAATCATGAAAAATTGCTAAACACATGCTTATGAGCTAATGTTAGCAGGCTACAATCAATCTAAAGGGAGCATATAACATAAGAGTATACAAATCACCTTGATCATGGATAACATATTCATTAAGAACCTATGAAGTATATGAAATGAAGACCAAAGCTTCCCTTCAATCAATGACAACCAGCTCGAAGATGAATACAGTAGTTTTCTACAAACACTAGAAGTCGAAAAACAATGAACATCGTAAGCTGCTTAGGAACATGATGATTCGCTGGCTAATATGTATGAAGGTACTAACGACGACTGTAGCTCAACTAGTACTCAATGACAAATCACAGATGAACACATTGACTTGCATACAAGTGATAACAAGAGATTTGATCCAGATATGATGAGTCTCCAGTGCATAGGGATACTCATGTGAGTTGTCATTTGCAAGCAATAATGGAAGATCTTTCGTATGCAGAATAGTATACTTATAGGTGATAATTAGCAACATGCAGTGAACACTACAACATTACTACAGTCAACAGTGAATGTCAAGCAAATATATCAAAACCTTGCAGATAGAGGCGGTTGATTTGTAGTAAGTGCAAATATTTACAAGTCACTACAAGAGACCCATCATATGTACAACCTGCTATGACGTGCATGAAGAATCAATGATGAATGTTGTCCACTGATAGTCAGCTAAGACACAAATAAATGCATTCAAACTTGCATAAGTAAATATCTAGCAAATACTTTAACCCCTTGCAAGTAGAGAAGGAAGATGTGCAACAGATGTAAGTTCCTATGAGCTTTTGTAGGAGACCCGTCGTACACATCAAATGTCACTTACAAGTAAAGTTCCAAAGGACCATAGCAAATGCGGATGCTTACGGGCTACGGTAGAAAACTCGTCGTGTATACAATGGATTGTCTGTGAGCGAGTAGAAGAGAAATGGACTGAATGCAATTACCTACGAACAATAACAGGAGATTAGTTAGTGCACGACAATCTACTTGCAGAAAGTAATAAGTAGTTCACGACAGTCTACCTGTACAAAATGGGCAGATGACCGTAGTGCAATGTAATGCTACTAGATCTGCAACACTCATAAAAGCAGATAGAAGACGTCTATAATCTACAATGCCACGCCACCGGATCTGCAACACTCATACAAACAGACATAAGGCATTTACAAGCTGCAATGCCACATCACCGGATCCGCAACCTATACAAGCGGACATAAGGCATTTATAAATATTCTAAAAATGTCCTCCACATGTACTATAATTTGTATGTACATAAACACAATAAAGGCACGTGCAATTGCACACCTGCATGAGCCCCAACAAGCGTGTTACGGGTACACACGTGACATCTAAGAATGCTCCACAGGTCAAATGATAGGCCCAAGTTCGAGCCTGATCCTTCTATGCAGGTAGATAGGAGTCGACACGGTTCGAACCATTAAATAAATACGCGGTCACGTTGTCGGATGAAATATTTATTTTACAGTTCATGTTAGGCCTTCAAGATCTATAACAATAAAAAATAATTAATAAGAGCATACAAACGACTTGAACCTGATCCTATGTCGGCAACTAACAGAGTCGACAGCGTTCAATGAACAAAATGCAATGATCCTATACACCCCGATGATGGCCATGTTGAATATAAATATCAACCAGAAGGGATCATATATTCCCAAATGCCCTCAAACTTCTACAAAATACATACATTTTCAAATGACCCCATATACCCTGATGATTACCACATTGACAGAAAATCTCAATCGGATGGTCAATTCCAAATATTCAAATGCCTACCAAATTCGTAAATGCCCGTGAAAACTCAAAATCTCCAAAATTCTAAAATATTTAAAATTAAAATTCAATCATTAATCACTTAAAGCAAAATCCATCCATTATCCATAACAATTTGTCAAGGTGGACAAATATGAAAATAACTTTAGCTCACAAAGAGGTGATGTCTAGTCAAGAATATCACTAGGATTCATTCTCAAATTAAATATTAAGTCAAATTTAATAAATAACCCCTATGCTTCTTCAAAATAAAAAGATCTGTTTAAAAAAAATAAAATTATGTTAAAATAATCATTATATAAAGAATAATTTCAAATATATGTATATTTAAATTTCTTTAATTATTTCCTGTATAATTATATAATTAAATTCAAATTTAAAAGACATAAATTTGATGATATGTGCATGTCTTATGATTTTTTAGCAACAGCTCATGCTAATTTTATTGATTTGTGCACGTTGCATCGAGACCCCTGTCGATTTGCTTGCACGACATTAATTGAACAAATTGGTAGTCAATTAAAGTATTGATGAATCCTGAACGTGACGGCGAAGTCCGTTTTGCAATTGGACATCATTTGGGCTATGTCGCGTGCCATTTTCCTCTGTTTGTGCATGGCTTCCTTGGGATGTGCTGCTTTCCTTGCACATCTTTAATTGTTCCAATTGGATGTCATTTTTGGATATTGAGGATGTTTCGAATGCAACGAAGAAGTTCATTTCGCGATTGGACGTCTTTTGGGCAACGTCGAGTGCTAACTTCCTTGATTTGCATGGTACCGCCTCGAGATTCGCACTTCGCCGGGAAATTCCATTTGAACAAATAAAATATAATATTTTTAGTGTCGACGATGTTCTGAACGCAACGGCGAAACCCGTTCTGTGATTGGATGTTGTTTGAGCGATATTGCGCGTCAATCTCGGGTGTTGGTCATCCCTTCGGACCGACTCATCCGATTTGACTGTGAGTGGTCTCCATTTGGGCAAATTCGACGTCCTGATTGCAAAAACGCAGTCCGTTTGGCAATCGGAGGTAGTTTGGCCTTTCAAGTGACGTGTCGCGTCAACGCGCACGTTGCTTGATTCGCCGGTTTTGTCCTTCTGCGTGTGGTTTGATGTGTGGGGGGTGGTCTAGAGATAGCTAAGAAATGGAGGGTTACCATTGGTTGATTAACAAAGTTAGAGCTTCAAAGCTCACTCAATTCACAAAGTTAGAAAAAAAAATTTCACAAAGTTAGAACTTTAAGTATCCTAATCACATGCAAATCAAATATTTTGAAACTAAGAACATTGTCTCAGTTACATATAAAAAGTGCAATTTTGTAATATTTGGAATTCTAATTAGTCAATCTGTCATTGTTTATGTTTCTCGCTAATTGATCTTTAGCAATAATTCTCAAGAATAGACAGGTTTAAACAGGAAAGGAAATCTCAGTATAAGAGAGTACCAGTTCTTTGTAAAGCCCACATTATTTTTTCTAGTGCATTTAGCTTGCACCATCTATCAGCAGAAGAAGTGCTAGATTGGGTCATATCAATAGAGATATCCAAATCACCCCATCTACTGTAAAGGTTTGAAATATAAGATCCAAATGCCTTGACCGAAGCACCTGCATTTGTAAATGTTATCCTAAATTATAGAATGCAAAAATATTAGACTAATATTCATCAGGAACATGATGGATGTAGGGTAATTAAAAAATGATAAAGCGTTAAACTATGAAGATATAAAAATATATCATAGTCCTTCACGAATTTTACTGACTTTGCATGTTCTAAATTATCAGATGTGGCAGATTTCTAACAAAAAAAGCTCAAAAAATACTACCATGCATTTCCACATTAAACAACTTCCTGCAAACCTGAAAAATGATTGACTACAATAGCATGTTTAGAAATGCATGGAGGAACAGGGCAAGAGGCAAATTCAAATGATTGAAGTGATTTCAAGGTGCTATCTGTAAAAAGCAATCAGGAATGTGCATCTAGAACCAGACAAATTATGTGATGGCAAGGTGCTATCTCTAGAAAGAGATCAGGAATGTGAGGGCTTTAGAAATTTTGGAAAGACAATGCATGATGATGTTAATAAGAAAAGTCATAAATGATTCCAAAAAATCTAAATTTCTAGAAAATCAATAAGTTGATGGATAGTTTGTGCAAGTTTATCAAAACACGATTTTACAACAGTTAGCTTGGTTTAATAAACTTAGTTCATTCACATGAGGTACACTCCAAAAGTTGCTTAAAAAATAATAGCAATTACCTCTTAAACTTTGGTCAATCTGAATAGCACCTGCAAGCTCATTAATGACACTTTCTCGCTTTTGAATATCATCCACCGTGGGTTTGATAAAAGAAAGGATTTCCTTGACGCAGAGTTCTAACTCAGAATGAACATAGATGTCTAATGGCTCAGAATATGCCATCATGTGGCTCGAATAAGCAAGCAACGAACTATGAACTCCTACAAAATAAAAAATGAAAATGAGCAAACAAAAAATAACAATATCAAATAAACGATTAACATCATATTAGCTTTCCCAACTCAAGCAAATTGTATGTTAGTGGAATCAGATTAACCACTCAAGCATAGATAACATAGAGCACAATTGAACATGCAACAACAATCTTACATTTTGTTTGGGTGGCTTTATGCTTCATTTTTTTGGCCGTTACAAACAATTTTATCATCCATAGTTTCAATCATGTTTTTTTAAAAGCAATGTTCTAAGAAAAAAATTCAGAAGTTGTCATTCAAACGGACAGGCTAAGTTTCCTACCACAAAAACAGTCAAAAAGTTTACCAAACGAAACCTTAATAATTGATTACAGTTGCAAGACCCGAGGAAAAAGCTGCCAGAAAATTATCAAAAAAAAATTGACAGCAATACGACAATGAATCCTTAGGATCAGCAGGTTGGAGTGACAGAATAAGTTATATTATTATACCAACAGCATTACAGCAAGAGGAAACATACCAGGCGGATCATTATGGACATGGACATAGCTTAAAAACACTATCAAAACAACAGAACAAAACCTCAACTGGGAGAACTTGGATAGGGCAATGCACAGTAGTGATTTGTCATTCAAAAACAATCAAACAACTTAATACAAAAAATGATCTTTCTTGTGTTCAAGCAATACTAAGCATAATGTAAGTTTACAGCTCAATAAGCGAAGATCAATTGATAAACACAGATATACGAGCAGAAATTAAAACAATGGCTTCCGAAAAAGGGGAAGAAGCTAAGAAAATCCAAAACCCTAACAATGTGCATCGATCAAATAACTAATGGCTGTAAAGATGGGGGTACAGGGAAGAAATATTGATAGAAAGACTGCAGTTTACCGACTACCAAGAGGAATCCACGAGAAGAAGGCAATCAGCAAGACTCGAGAGACCGATCCCTCTAATCGCTCTGCATTCTATTGCCCATTCGCACCTAAACTATTTATCCCATAAAGGTGCGCGGGCACTGAAAATACCATTAGATCGCAGCGCTGCTTTGAGACTCTAGGTCAAACTGATATCAACTTTTTTTTTTTAAATAGAAAAACTGATAAAAATAAGTTGGATTTCGAAAGGATTTTGATAACAAGCATAAGCCCCAAGATTTGGGTTGAATTAATTATTCTATGCGGATGTCGAATATCATCTGAAGATTAATCAAAATATACTATATCACTCCTGAATTCAATACTGCTCGGTATCGCAGCTTGGTACTGCTCGGTACCGTGGCTCGGTATTGCACTCAATACCGCCGACGTTGCGTATTCTGGTTGGTTTCCGAACGATGTTCTGCATCCGATCTCCGCACATAATAATTTCTCATTGACTTGGCCCTCGTCTCTTTCTAGACAAAAAAAAGTGTTAAGCCACAAGTAGGTGGCTTGAGTCTTCAATCATTTCAAATTCCTGTCTTTTATTTTATTTATTCAAATATTATCATATTCCTTCATTATATTATAAATAAATAATATATACTAAAATTAAACTGTAATTTGTGATGCTGCCCTTAGATAATCTTAGCAATTCATTTTTAAAATCATAATAAATCTCCACCGTATGATATCACGTCTCTTCGCATCCTCTATTTAGAACTTTTATTCTATCCAGTGAACGTACGCAGAGGAATGTTCGGTTTTAGGCAAAAAAGCGCCTGTACCGAGTTTTTTTTCAGTGTACCGAGTTTTTTCAAAAAAGTCGGTACAGGCGCTTTTTTGCCTAAAACGAACATTCCTCTGCGTACGTTCACTAGATAGAATAAAAGTTCCTCTATTTGGCTCTTCGTTCCCTGCTTCGAATGAATGGAAAAAGTGAAAAACCTCTTCGGATGCTGTTCCTGTTGGATTGAAAATCACAACATTTATTTTTAAAATTAAAATAAACATAAACTGTCAAATTGCGCCTCTTCATTTCTCCAACATTGAATCTCCTATGGCTTCGTGTGGCTTACGTGAAGAAGAGTTTAGAAAGAGTTGGTGAAGAGCTGCTTATATTGCCTTCTTCATGTAGGATCGGAAGTCACAATTGAAGATCATCACTTGGCATGAAGTAGAGTTTTGAGTGAGTTGCTAAAAATGCTTCGCTTTCTTTTTGTAGGATTAGAAGTCCCAAGAGGAGATCTATAATGTCCTAAGATCAAATTTGAAAGAATTATTCTTTTTATCTTTAAAAATCAACATCATAGCTATTTATTTCTCTTTTATCAGTGTAATATCAACTGAAATAAAACTAATAATCAAAATATCAAAATACATCAATCAATTTATAACAGTAGTAGGTATATGATCATGGATCAATGCAAAAAAAGTAAAACACACATGTAGTAGCAATATAATCTATAAAAATAAAATATTATGATAATAAAGCCAACAAAGCAGTACGGTGGAAAAACAAATAAATTAGTACATGTGTCAAATCGATAAAGAGATCATTGTATCATTACTATTAATCAGTAAAGAAAACGTATAAAACAGTGAAACTAAAGCACAGTAAAAACTGCCATAATCATATCAATATAATAAAACCCTATATATAATGATGTACACATGCTATCCAGTTATTCTATATAAGTATCAAAATATTATATTAATCACGTGTTTAGTATATCACATAATCAATATCAATACAATGAATCAGTATCGGCAATCAACACAATGAATCAATAGTAGTATTGAACAATATTGATATCCTTATAAGTAGCAATATCAGTACAATGTTGTCAATATAATCAGTGATAGTAAGTAAAACAATGTAGTTACAATAAATCCTTGCATTGAAAGTAAATTAGTAAATAGTAACAATAAAATAGTAAAATCATAAAATAATAATAATAATAATCAATCAATAACAAAAATTGTAGTAGTCAAACTAAACAAGTAAGAAATCATAATTTAAGTGGTATTTTCTTAGCAACCAGTAATTTGTATTAGTATCTCATTGACTCAACAAACAAAGTCATCATTTTTTACCCGTCGACACAATAATTACATTTTTGTAACTCAAAATTAGTATCTTGTGAATCAGTAAATGAGAATGTTAAATCACAATATTAAAGGAAAACTCGTTGACCCTCTTGTACATATCAATAAGTCTCCAGTCAATGTCAGTGAAACCAACTTTTACTCATCGTTAAGCATATTAGTATCACAGTACTCTAATGATATTAAGGACCAGTTATTACTCAATCACATATCCGCATTCATTTTCAATACTTATATTAATAGTGTACTTACAAAAAAACATTAGTTATTTAATGAATAGAAACAATACAAAATACAATAATTTTTATTTTACTTAATAAAATTCAATAAATATTACAGTCAAAATTTTCAGGATAATATGTACGATAAAATAACTAATTTTATGCATATTGATATTTTTGTTATATATGTCATACATTGGCTATTGTTTATTTCCTAGCATCCTAAAGTTTTTCACCAAATAACTAATTCTAAATAAAAAATCTCGAAACCATTTGCATAACATATCTTAATTCTTGCATGCCTCCCATTTAACATACGCCTTTTGATGGAATTTCCCCTGATTTGTTTATCTCAACAAGACAAACCAAAAACATATCAAAAGAGCCAGAAGCTTAATTGGCTTCAAGATATAATTGAGACGATCAAATGATCCCAAATGAGACATGTTTATAATCAAATCAAGCAGCTTGACGAGACGAGTCCAACGAGTCAAAGATTGCTTAATTCTACAATGTTAATACAATTAAATACTAAAAGAATATTTCACGAGTAAGAGAATTAATATGACCATTTGATAATTCTTTGAATTTCTCCCTATTTTACAGGGCATGTGTTATGCACTATAATCTAATTTAGAAAAATTATTTTTTTATCTTTTAACATACAAAAAATAGAGTTATTTAATATCATCAATAAGTATAAGTAACAAAAATAAATTCTATAATTCAAAACATCAATTGAGATCTGTATTCATTTCCCAAAAAGTCATATACACTACTCATAATCTATTTAATCATATCACAACTAATCTATCATATGTATAAAATAATAGCTAAAAAAAAAATCGAACTTGAAGAAATCCTGATTAGTCTCACACTCATACTCGCTATGATATGAAATTATTTAACCACATATAATGAGCTAAACAACCCAGCAAAAAACCAAATCTTATAACTGACCTCAATGCACGTTAGAGAATCAATATGCATGTTAGCAGTTAAATCATAACAATAACATTCATATGATCATAGAGCAATATAATAGAGAAATGAGTAAATTAATACATGTGTTGAATTACTAAAGAAATTGTCATATCAATATTACAATTAGTAGAGAAATTGTGTAAAACATCAAATCAAAACATCAATAAATACTGTCGAAATCATGTCAATGTAGTAAAATCATATAAAATAATTATACCAGTGTATCACATGCTCATAAATATCATATAAGTATCAGTGTCCAGTGCATATGTTTAATACATATCACGTGATCAACATATTAATAGCAGTAGACCAGTAGTAACATCATCATCATGGGTGAAAGTAACAGTTAATACGTACAGTGGCAATGATTTAGTAGCATGCATTCTTATAATCATATTAAACAAGTAAAATTCCTAGCTATAGCGGTGTTTTTTAGTATAAGAGCCAGTGTTAGTAACCCGTTGGCTCAATAAGCAGAGTTGTTACTCTTTGCTCGTCAGCACAGTAATAACTCCTTATAACTCTCAATCAGTGTATCACATGAATTAGTCAAAGATAACACTCAACCATAATATTTAAAAAAAAAACTCGTTGGCTCAACATCTTGTACAAGTCATTCAATCTCCAACCAACATCAGTGAAAACTAGTCTTTACTTTCTTCCCCACACATGTTATTATTATAATAATATAATAATAATAGTGACCAGCTATTACTCAATCACGTATTCACATTCATTTTCAATGCATTGCAGTAGATAAATCATACTTTAACTTAATTCAGAAAATATCAAAATATCCTGACAGTAGGCAACAAAAATCCTACTAAGCAAAAATTCTTATTTTCAAAAATTAACCAAATTACCATGGATTGCATATAACAACATTCTGAAGCTTTTAGTGAACTAAAGCACTAGTTTTAGAAGTCAAAATAAATATTTGAATATGCAAAAATCGATTCATTTTCAAAATCACCTAACAAAAAAATCTCAAATTAATAATTAAAACATTCATAATCTCGATCTCTATAACATATAAAAAGTTACACATTGAAAATTTTATCAATTCAAAATATCCTCATTTTTTATAACGAAATACAAATATGATCGAAAAAATACCAAAAGCACAATATTATTGAAATCATAAATACGATATAGATTTCTTACAGTGAGATGAACAAACCTTCCAACAGGGCCAACTGCAATAAATTACTCTACGGCCTCTAAATCTTAATATTTATTTAATTTCTCCCTCATCACATTAATTAATAATAAATAAACCGTCAGAATTCTGCCGAAAAATTTGCCGGAAAATAGTTCGATGGAAATCCGCTGAAAAATCTGCTGGTAATGGATGATTTTCATGTAGTGACGGGCTTGGGGACTTTTCCAATTTCACCTACTATGGGAAATAGGGAATCTACAACAACTTCTTAAGCTTGCTGGTTTTTGCAAATCAGAAAAGAAGATCATAGATTTGAAGGCATGTATGGGTTTGGGAATGACAGTCACAACTGCTGCTGGTTTTGTAAATTTTTTTTTTTCATTTATTTTGTCAAACTCGGGTTGTTAGTCAGAGAAATATACCTGAAAGAAGATCACAGATTTGCATATTCCCAAGCGTAATTTTTTTTTTCTTATTTTAGCAAACTAGGACCATGATAGGGGGGTATATACCTAAAATAGTATTACTATAAATAGGATATTGATTTTTTTTTGGGACATTTAGGCCATTTAAGACAAACTCACACACACAACGCATACACAAAGTGATACGGCATCACAAAATTAGCTT